TACATGTCTGTAATCCAGGTAGGAGGACCCTAAGCTAAGAGAACAGGTTTTTTTTTTTTTTCGAGACATGCAGATCTCTGAGTGCTAGTCAGTTCTGTTGAGCCAGTTTGGTTGAGTCAATCCGCAGAAAGGCAGGCAGTGGAGCCGAGTTCATGGAATTCAGAGGCAGTTTTACTGGGAGAGTTTTACAGAGACAGGTGAAAACAGAATGATCCAGAGAATGAAAAGGAGCCAGAAGATTGAAACAGATTACTAGGGTTAATTTGAGGCTAAGCAGACCAATTCAAGCAGAACAGAGAGAAAAGCCAGAGTTCACAAAGAACTATAAAGGTTGAGCAGAAAGTCTTGAAGACTGAAAACATTCTAAGCTTAGGTTAGCAGAGGGAGGCAGTAAGCTTGAGAACAATTAAATCAGGTGAATAAAAGTTACTCTTACAACCAACAACTGAGGTAAATTTTAATGAACGTGTAAGGGAATCATCAACTGGGGGAGGCTGAAGTTCTTACAATATATTCCTGTTTAGACAGACAGGCTATTGTAGATGATGTTGTATCCGTTCACAGTGTACATCCTATGCCGCACAGTGGTGAGTGGATCCAGGCCAAGAGAATACTCCAGTCTCAAAGACATCAATGTCCATTCTTTCCCTCTTGTGTTATAAATATCTCGTGGCAAATCCATATTCAAAGCAATGGTGTGGTTTGATTTCAAAGGACATGGCATTTGAAAGGTTCTGTGCTTAAGGACCTACTCTAAAAGCAACATTCTATACACAAAAAGTTAATTCATACGTGAAACTTCATTGGACCTGGGTTTAGGGTTATTTGGGACTTGAACAGCTTAAAATCTTTACACTTTGCAATTTTCAAAATCTACTCAAAACTGTTCCGTTCTCCCAAAAGTATACTGTTTTAACCTCTTGAAAGGCAGGCTTTGTTTTTTGAGGCAGGGTCTCTGAGTAGCCTTGGCTGTCCTTGAACTTGTTTTGTAAATTAAGCTGGCCTTGAACTCAGAGATCCTCCTGCCTCTGCTCCCAAGTGCCAGGATTAAAAGTGTATACCACCATGCCCAGCTGACAAGCAGTTTCTTTATATTCACTGAACTGCATCCAGCAAACTAAGAAAACACAAACGGACATTTCTCGGACCCTGTTGAGGACACAAAGCAGAGCTGGAATGGAAGCACTAGTGAAATCACGCTGATGTCAAGGGTCGGGCAGTGTCGCCATGTTCCTCTCAGGCTATGGCCAATCACTGACTGAATGTTTGCCTTCCAGCTCTTCCAAGTATGACATACAGTAATTCATAATCTCACAGAGCTCAAGTCGGAGTCGGGCAGGCAGAGCTGGCTCATAGCAGCCACTGCTCATGGCTTCTGCAGGAACACCAGGAGGTGAAACTAAGATCTGAGAGGATGAGGGCGCTGCTTCTCCCCCAACTACGGACCAGCGACTACTGCGACCTTGTGCTTCTGAATGTGGGGACCGCACACTTATAAATGACCTACCTTCCCTGTGAACAAAGACTTAACTCTCCCAACCCCCCCACCCCCTTTTTTCTTTGAGACAGGGTATTATTATGTAGCCATGGCTGGTATAGAACTCACTACATAGACAAGACTGGTCTTAAACTCCTGCCTCTGCCTCCCAAGTGCTAGGATTTAGTGTGTGTACTAAAACATCAGGCAGACTTCAACTTTTAAAAATTCCATTACCTTTGTCAAAACATTTGTAATAAAGGCAGTGAGAAGTAGTTTAAAAAATATTAAATGCCTAAGTTAAAATGCTAATAATGAAGAATTGCAACTTTGAGGAGGCAGAAAGAGAAACATAAATCAAGTTTTAATATAAAATGTAAACAAACAATACAGAAGAATGGAGTTTCTTGTAATTCTTGTGAAACAAAGCTTTACATTAGAACATCTACTTTTTGTTAAATAGATGACTCTATTTCGTTAACTCACAAACTCCAGGGTTTTTAATTTGTGGGTAGAGTGCTATTTTCTCTTATATCCTTAAAATAAAATTTTAAAAAAGATTTTAATTACTTGTGTTTGTATTTGAGTATTTTCCAGAACTAATGTCTGTGTATCACATGTATACAGTGCTCTTGGAGTCCAGAAGAGGACATTACAGATGGCTGTGAGCCACCATGTGGTGTTGAGAACTGAATCTGGGTCCTCTGGAAGAGCAGCCAGCATTTTTAACCGTTGAGTCATCTTTCCAGCCTCTCTCTTATGGTCTTTTGAGGTTTTGTCTAAATCTATGGTTAAGACAAATCAAATTCTTCAAATAAGTACAAAAGAGTCAAATGAATCAATTAAATTATATATTTAAAAGTTCCAAAACATCAGAAGATGACAGGCAGCTATCCACAGGTACAGACTGCCTATTTCTGAGGTCTCCAACAGATGAACACTGTACAAAGAACACAAATTATTACTCAAACAGTCACCTTCCAGTATCCTCATGACTCTTTACTATTGATAACACAGTTAATGGAAAGTAGTTAATTGGATGGAAAATCAAAATTGTAAAATGTATTCTGGGATTCTATCACTTACACTGTAAATTTCTGAAGGGTTGGTGTACACTCAATTTTTAAACAAGCATCTCAAGTCTTTTACAAAGACTAAAAGGTAAGAAATATTGTGCTTTTTTTCATTGTAACAATAGCCAAATAAAATTCTTAAGTGATACTCTTCATGTTTGGCAAAAATGAAAATGTATGAAATTAACTATTTACTTAATTAACCTGTAACCACTACTGAAATCTTAACTTATACTCACATTGAAATGGAAATTCAAGACACAAGCATAGCAACACATTCAAACAACATAACTGGTCAAGATACGTTACTTAACATTAAGTGGAGAGACCAAAAAGTAGGTAGTATAAACCAGAGAAAGTAGTTTCAGAAACTGGATGTTGTACCTACAGCCGTACCACCTGCACGTGTGTGTCTCATTTGACCTTGGAAGCTAAGCAGGGCCAAGCCTGGTTAGCACTTAGAATAAGGGGTTTTGTAAGGAAACTTTTCCTTTCCTACAATGCCTTTTGAGGTAACCCTCATACCCACACCGTCTGTGACTGGACAGTACATCTCACTTCTAGTTACTAGAAGACATTTCTTTTAGAGACTGGGGCAAAGGGGAACAGAGGCTACAAACTTTCTAGTTTGCTCAATGCCCCCTTTAACAGGACAACTGATAAGTTTACGTCAAATTTTAGATTCTTAAACCAAGATAAACAACAAAGGACAGTGGAGATAAACACTATTTTTAGAAAACCTTTTTGTCCTTTAAAATATATTAGTCCCCTTCTAGCAGGAGTTTACAGAGTCCTCCTAAGACCTTAATAAGAACACAGAACACAATGGGGGGATGGAAGGGGGGCACAGCACCATAATTTCAAACATACAAAACATTCAGCACTGACTAGAATAAGACCAAGCTGCCCACAGACAGGGACAAGTCCCAACATGGAGGAAATATATTATCTATTTGAATAGAAGAAAAGTGGAAGATATGTTTAGGTAAGAATGAAGAAAGAAGTGCTAACTCCTTGTACTACAAGGAAGGAATGGGATTTCTTTATCAAAAAGCAGAAAGAAAATGCAAGCTCCCAAATGGATTTCTGATGCTCAAACTCTATCATACGCTGCTGGTAACAGTAAATATATATATATCTATATTCATATATGTATATCAAAAAAGGAAAAATAATCTATAGAACAGTCAGTAGTCAGAGACATTTAGAAAAAAGTAAAAACAAGTCTTTCTTTTTAAAAACGGATTTACTAGAACAGCTTCACACCCAGAGGACCTACAGCCCCACATCCTCTGATGAAGCCATGGTGTTACTCATCAACATCTGCTGGGGCCATGTTGGAAACTACAGGCATTGGGGTTAGGGCTGCAAGGCAAAAGCTGTTATCTGCCAGTCTTGCTCATAGCCATGCGTGAAGCATGGTGGAGTCTGGAATACTTGTGAATGAGGGTTTCCCAGATAAGCATGCATCACCGAGGCTCAGTAAAATGTTCTCATTAGCCATCCTTACTCCCTCCAGAAACCTGGATCCGTGTACCTACTTTTCTTCTTCTCTAAAACACAGACCCAAATGGACTTCTCAAACCAATGGGCTACTTGCCTTGAAGTAAGAAAACAAAACAAAACAAAAAAAAACTCTTCCCAGAATCCAGTCTAGTCAGATGTTCTAACCTGCTGATATCCTCCTGAGGGAAGTGAGGGGCTCTTTTGGAGGATTTTCTTATTGGTATAAATAAGCACAAGCAGCTGAGATCATAGACTGCACTGCCACCCCAAGACTTCTAGAGGGATAACTTTGGCCTGCTCCTCTTAACTGGATCAGTAGGGCATAAATGTCAGTAATTACGGACAGAGTTGTACTCTTTTTTTTTTTTTTTTTTTTTTGGTTTTTCGAGACAGGGTTTCTCTGTATAGCCCGGGCTGTCCTGGAACTCACTCTGTAGACCAGGCTGGCCTCGAACTCAGAAATCCGCCTGCCTCTGCCTCCCGAGTGCTGGGATTAAAGGCGTGCGCCACCACCACCCGGCCAGAGTTGTACTCTTGACTACTGCCCAATTATCCTAGCTAAGGAAAGTCAGGGCCTTCTGATGGCACCACCTGTATGTTGTAGCCTTCTACAACTACCATCAGTTGGTTGAAAGCCACTTCTCATATGCCCCACTAAGCAATCAAAGTGTTAATGACAAACAGCCTCCTGAGAGTTCCATAAGAACCTGACCTTAATTCAGCAAACCATACTCAAAGGAGTCAAGAGTTGAAATACTTGGCTGCTGCACCAAAGAAGACATCCTCTGCACAGATGATAAGAGAATGGAGCCCACACAATCCATGCAGAGAGGAAGCCAGCATTAAGAGGACTTTTTCTGAAGTCCATTCATCTTTGGAAACAACATTCTGAGTGGTCGGAACCACTCTGCTTGATGAGTAAGGTCTCAATGTGGTCCACTTCCCCCCATGTTGCAAGCTAACAGGACATCTGCTAACTGGTCTCTTTAAGATCCTCCATTGGTAGTTTGTAGCTCATTATGAAGGGAGGAGGTGGTGCTTGGCCTGGGCTATCTGGCCCCGGCTTCTTTGCACAGTTTATACAGATGTAATCTTCATTTTCAGCCATTTCTGGGGATACACCAACACAAACTTGATGAAACCACTCATCACAGCCACCATCACACTGTACCCAGTCTACCTGTAGGAGATAAAGATTGGGAAATGTTTAGCATCATAACAGTAAGGCCAGAATAAAAGCAAACCAGAGAACTTTCTTGGAATTAAGAAGAGCAAACAACTGGAATATCCAGAGATAGATATGACTTCTTACGGGGTTATTTTTCAAAGAAAGAAGCTGAGAAGTTAATACCCCCAAATTATATTTTACCATAGTGTGTCCACAAAATTAGGCCTCTTAGGTACTCCATTACCTTATGAATACCTGGGGTTCCTTGTGAGGCAGAAACATGATTGGGAAATACTTAACAAAAAAAGAAACTTCTAATAGAGCAGCCAAGTAGTTTTAGCTAATATTAACAATTTCTAGGCTCTAAAATAATGCAATTAACAATCAAGAAAGAAAGAGGACAACAACGTGAGGCAGTCCTGTGGATTAGCTTTATTTCAAAGAGATAAGCCAAAGTACTAAGAGCATTAAATACCTTTTTAGAAAAGCAGTCACATAGGCCACTTTTAAAACTACTATTTTTTATTCTTCTCTTCTTCCGTTACAAATACAACTCCCTATAAAAAGTTAGCAAATATCAGAGGTCAAATCTTACAAGTTAACCAATTACAACAGTCAAAGACACAGGTCAATAGATTAACTCTGGGGTTTAAAATTAGTCTGAGAAAGTGACAGGTGTAAGCGGCAGATGCCAGGCAAACACTGATCCTTTAGACCCTACAGTGACTAGAAGAGGCATGAAAGGCTTTAGTTTGGTGACTTAAAACCTTGGTGCTAACAGTAAAGTAGGAAAGTGCAACTTCAGGCTTTTCTATTCAGAAGGTAACCGTATACTTAATGTCGTATTAGACAAGATCTATCATTAAGATAACAAGAGCCACAGGCATCCCCCTTCACAATACAAAGGCTGGCCACTGAAGCGGCAGTACAGGAAGCCACTTAAAATCGTAAGCTTGATCAGACCTCGGAGCAAAGAATTATTAAAGGGATCAAAGAAGCCCCTTAACACAGCCAGAAGGACAAAGGAGGCCTTGGCTAGGTAAGTAAGTTTTATTTAGGGAAAAGCGAGTGGTTTTAAAATGCTTCCATAGCGTGTAAAACAACAGTCAAGTCAGTAAGTCTTGGGCTTATATTAGAGGATGGAAAATTATTTATAATATATTGCCATTTGGCTTTTATTATCTCTTATCATTTCTATTTTAAGCATTCTTAAATATTTGTATTGTTCTTAAATATCTGTCCATCCATTTTCTTCCTGTAATTAAATTCTTTAAGTGTTCCCTCCTAAGCATACCGTGTAGCCTAAGCTAGCCTCATCTTCATCTTCAGTCTAGCACTCTGCCAGGCTCAGACTTGAGACTCTCCTGTCTCAGTCTCCAGAGTGTTGGGATCACTGTGGCAAAGTTGTAAGTTTATTAAGCAAAGGAAAGTGCATACTCTGAGAACTAAGTGTGGACTTTAAGACATTCTAGATGATTCCTACTTATTTCAGACCACTGCTGTCTGTGATATTGCTTCCTATAAATTCAGAGTAACTTAATTATTCTCAACTAAACTAAATTCCATTTGTTTATAACTGGATGTTTTGCCTCAGAAGAAGGCAAAAGTATAGTTATGAAACTGATAACAGCCAGGCAGTGGTGGTCCTCACCTTTATTTAATCCCAGCACTTGGGAGGCAGAGGCAGGCAGATCTCTGAGTTCGAGGCCAGCCTGGTCTACAGAGTGAGTTCCAGGACAGCCAGTGCTACACAGAGAAACCTTGTCTCAAACAAAACAAAATAGAACACCCCCCCACCTCACCCAAATAAATAAAAAAAAGATTCTGCTGTAACCAGAGAAATAGTAGGATGTAATAGGCTGCTGAATAAAGTGAACACTATAAATGCTAACTACTGCAAGTGAACTGAAGATGAGTGTTTTGGGTATTCGGAGCATGTAAAGGAATTAGAAAAATGACCAACATTTCATGGGATTTGAGATCCTATGCTGTTTTATAATGACACCCTAGCTGACAGATTTCTTCACTCCTACCTCTAATCCTATTAACTTAATCAAGTCTTCATTTATGCTAGTCCACAGGAAAAAAGTTACCAAATAAGAGGTATTGGTATTTGCTACTAAAAAAAAGAAAAAAAAAAAAGGCATTGTATGGTTTTTAAATCTATTTTTTCACTGTGTCCACTGGTTTCAAGTTTCTAAAAACTAAATCTATTATTTTTGTTCAAATAAGCAAGGCAGTACTTTCTCTCTTGTGATCTTGATTAGAAGTACCTCTTCCGCTGCTTTAAAAAAATAAAAGATTTTTCTTGAGGTGGGTATTCATTTGTGCAGACTCTACTACAGCCTTCTGGTTATAGAACAACTTACCCTGATAATCCAAGTAAGGAAATTGTATCCTTCATTCACCAATTTCTTTATTAACAATCAACCCTAATTCTACTTCTGTATAAAAAATCCCACAGGAGCACAAATCAAACTAAAGTTCAAAATGTTAACTGACTCCACAGACAATTCTGAGGGGCAGTGACCCATATGGTAACCTGAAAGTTCAAAAGCATAGAATCTGGCTAACTGAATACTACATTCTAATAGTCACCTCCTGCCCTACGTGCCCCCCCCCCAACTGATTAGGGAAAAGGACTTTATTAAGAAATTACAAAAATAATAATAAATTTCCCCAAAATGCAAGCATGATGGCAGGTGTCTCAACAACTATAAGGTGATAGATTAACTGATAAAAAGCTACTAAAATACAACAAATAGGTTACTGTGTTTATGTGTAGGAGAATGTCTGTTCAAAAGAGAAATAGGACCGGAGAGACCTTTTGTAGGTAAGAGCACTTGCTGACAAGCCCGACAACTTGAGCTGACTCCTTGGATAGTCTCCACGTGGTAGAAGGAGAGAACTGACTACTGTCCTGACTAGCACATGTACACCCCTCCTCCATAAACACACACATTAATATACTGAGGTTGGGTGTCTATAATCTCAGTGCTAAGGATGCTTGCCTAGCATCTCCAAGGATCTGGGTTTTATCCCCAGCACAATCAAGACAGAGAAGAAACAGAACGGAAATGGGAGGGAAACAGAGGACAGCTTGACCTTCTGTTGTGTCATTTCACACTCAGACTTAAGTTCCTGGCAATTTGTATTTTGTTGTATACCTTACAGTGTAATACTGTTGGAGGAAGGAAAGAAAACTAATATTTAGTGATAGTCTTAGCTTACTAATTTTAATCAATTTATGTACTCTAAGCATTGTGACTAACCATTCAAGTTTGTCTAGGAGCAAACTAGGACACAGCAGCAGACCTCAGGGAGAAAAAGCTTCTAGATTGAAACATTTCCAAACCTACTTCTATCTTGTTTTAAAAGTTAATTTCAGCTCAAATTTTATAGCTGATAGAATAAATAGACTTTCAGAAACCTTGGCCTTACTCTGATATTATCTTTCTTTATTCTTTGTTAGCTATTTTGCATCTGAAGTTAGGTACATTCAAGTAAACAATCTTAAAAATTGTTTTCTCAATCTTTTTGAGAAAAAATAATATTCATTATTGATAGGAGAAATGATGAAGGGTCATTCAGCATGATTTTTAAAGAGCATGGTGTTTTCCTGAAAAAGTGTTTTTCTTATTCTGAAGCTGTACATCAGACATTTGTTAGATACTTAATTACAAATTAAGAAAGTTGAAAAAACTTAAAAAAAAAAAAGACAGTTTCTCTGTGTAGTTCTGGGTGTCTTAGACGAGACTGGCTTCTAACTCACAGAGATTCACCTTCCTCTGCTTCATGAATGCTAGAAAGGTGAAGGTGAGGTGTGTGCCACCACGGCCAAATGAAAACTTTTAATTTAATAAACTAATGCCAGAAAAAAAAAACCCGCAAAATAGCAGTGGAGATGAAATATTTATAATCTGAAATAATCTGCACAGAATTAAACAAAGAAATACAATATTAGTTTTATTTTATAAAAATAATGTCAGGGAAAAATATAATGTTAACCTTTAAACATTTTTCTAAAATATGTAGCTAAGTCTATGTTCTATCAAAATGTACCCACATAAATACCAAATACGGTAGGAGCAAATCTCCCCTCTTTACACTTACACAGCTTCTCCTGTTACCAAGTGCTCTCACAGACTGTCCTCTTTTTTCCGTGAGTTAATTTATATTTAATTGTATAGTGAGTGGGGTAGTGGTGCCTGCAGTGTTTACATGCTTAAGGAAGAGGAGGGGACACATTGCTAGTGTTGAAATTACTGAAAATCAGCTAAAGAGGAAAGAAGAGGGATCTAAGAGCCCTGAGCTGCTGTCTTCACAGCCAAAGAGGAAAAGCTAACTTCCCATCAGCCTGCTTAGTTAATGAATGAAGACTGACCCATGAGTCGGGGATTTAGTAGAGTCAATCTGCCACAGTTGGAGACCAGGGCTGGCTCTTTCATGTTGTGGCTCTGCTACTCGTTAGCTCTGTGACTTTGCTCACATCATCATCTGTAACGTGAGAAGCTGGGACAAGAGACTTCTTGGTCCCTTTCAGGCTCTAAAAATGTGTTAAGTTTATTTATTATTCAGAAAGTAAGTGGGGCACAACTTTCAAGAAATGGTGGTGCAGTTCTATTTTCCCTTTATTTTCAAACTGTGGAGCTAGTAAGATTCTAAATATCAGACGATATGAGAATACATTCAAAATTACAAATTGTGTGTAGCAGCAGCAGCAGGTGTCTTACTCTAATGCTCTACACCGTAGTTTTTGAGACAGGATCTTTTACTGAACCTGGAGCTCAGCAAGTGGCTAGACTGTGGCCAGCATACCTGGGGGCTGTTCCTGCCTCCCATCTGCCCTCCCTCTCCTTCACCTCAATGCTATTGTCACAGACACATGCTGTTATGCTCAGCGTTTACATAGGGTCCAGTACTCAGGACCTTACATGTAAGCTTCAACAACTGAGCCATCTTCCTAGCCCTTTAAAATTATCCATATTGGTTTTAAAATTTAGGTAGCTCAAGCTGGTCTAACTTGAAATCTTCATTTTCTCTGTCTCCCAGGTGCTGAATTGTTTTGTATTACTACAAAGGCTTCTTTCTAGTATTCTTTAGAGGAAGAAGAATAAAAGATATCTTCAATCACTTAAAGAATTGAGATTTTTTTTTTTCTCCGATAAAGTCTGTCTACTTCTCCCAGAAACTAATGAAAGTATTACCTAAAAAAGAGCCAACACTGAATTACTATACTTATAATTTAGGGTTAAAAAGTTACTACATGAGCCAGGTGGTGGTGGTGCTTGCCGTTAATCCCAACACTCAGGAAGCAGAGGCAGGTGGAGTTCTCAGTTTGAGGCCAGCCTGGTCTACAGAGTGGGTTCTAGGACAGCCAGGGCTACACAGAGAAACCCTATCTTGAAAAACCAACAAAACAAAACAGCCCAACCAACTAACCAACCAACCAACCAACCAACCAACCAACCAACCAACCAACCAACCAACTAAAAAAGTTACTACATGTACTTGCAATACACATAACAGTCCATATGTAGGAGTCAGAGGACAACTTGAGGAAACTAGCTTTCTACTTATATCATGTGGTCCTGGAACTGGACTCAGGTTGTCAAATTTGGTAACAAGTACCTTTAACAACTAGGCCATCTACTAGCCTAGGCTGAAAAATTTTAACAATAACATTGTGAGTCTGAATTATTTGCTTTAAAAATCATTTTATATTTAAGAGAGTATCTCATTAAATATATATTAAGAGAATATTGTTCATCTAAAGTATAAATAAGATAAGGATGGACTTTTCAGGTCAGAAGAGTATTTTGAAGACTACCCTGAACACTGTGTATGAAGAGTGCAGTGCTTGCCAGGGTGTCAATTAAGTTTTCTATGCTTCTATAGATTTCTAGTAAATGACTTAAAAACTTCTTGCTTAATTAAAATGGTTTAAAAATATGTATGAAGTCCAAATTCTGGCATCACAACTATACTATCATCACATCCACACATCTGCGGCCCTTCACAGCAGGCAATGAACCCTCGCACCTCACCTTGTCCTTACAGGGCCTTTGGCAGTTCTGGGCTGCACACACAGCATTCTCATCGTCAGACTCCTCTGCGCCCGACCAGTCATACTTTGAGGGGATATCCAGCACCTTCCTCTCTCGTTTCTTCTCAGTGCTCTCTTTCACAAGCTCCACTTTGGCGGCGGCAGCCTTTTCTTTCTTTTTCTTTCGCTCTTCTTCTTTTGCTAACTTCTTGGCCAATTTATTCAGCTCTTTTGATTTGTCCACATTTAATTTTAATTTCTTCTTTTTAGGTTTATCTATTTTCTTTGGCTCCTTGGTCTTCTGTTTTCCTTCTCCAAAAAACTGTTCTACTTTTTCTAGTTTTCGTTTCCGTTTCTTCTCTGAAGAATCCTTTCCTTTCATTTTTAATGGTTTCTCTTCTATGCTATCATCCTTCAAAATATGAAATTAATCAAATCTTAATGTAAAACTTAAATATAGTGTCATTCTCTTATGTGAGGTACTTAGAACAAGAAAATTAGACACACACACACACACACAAAGAATAGGAGGCGAAGGAGGGGAAACAACTATATTTTAATGGCTCAGATTTCCTGTTTGGGATGATTACAGAGTTGTAAGAAGCTAGCTAGATACACATCTGTAGTCCCAGCACTTGGGAAGCAGCTGCAATGGGGTGGCTTCAAGTTCAAGGGTAGCCTGGTCTATATAGTGAGAGTGAATGAGTTCTAGGAATGTATTGTGGTGGTATTTGCATACAGTATGAATGTATATAATAGAACTGAACTGTTTACTCAAAAAAGGTAAGATGATAGCTCTTGTGTTGTAGCTACTGTACCAATATTTTAATTTTTTAAATTTATCTGTTTTCATGACTTATGCATGTTTTATTTTATGTGTATTGGTGTTTTGCCTGCATGTGTGTCTGTGTGAGACTGTCTAATCCCCTGGAAGTGGAGTTACAGACAGTTGTAAGCTGTCATGTGGGTGCTGAGAATGGAATATGGGTCCTCTGGAAATGCAGCCAGTGTTGTTAACTGGCGAGCTGTCTTTCCAGCCACCAACATTCTTTATATGAAAAAATGTATTTTCTGAATACCATAAAACCAGATGTTGGGGGTGCATGCCTGTAATCCTAGCACTTGGGAGGTAAAGACAGGAGGATCAGAAGGTTAAGGTCATCCTTTGCTACTCAGAAAGTATGAGACTAAACTTAGCTTCCAAAGTCCTTGTCTCAAAGAAAAATAAATAAGAAACTGGTTAAGCCAAGTGTGGTTGTGTACACCTTTAATCTCCCAAGACTCTGGAAGCAGGAGGTCAAAGAATAGAAAATAATAATAATACCAACCCTAAATTCTGAAATGGATTCCTCATGTCTACAATCCTAGCATGATCAAAGGGGGATCATGGATGTAAAAACACCAATATGAAATGCACACTGCTAATGCAAATGTAGTGTATGAGTAAAGTCTCCCAACTCATCCAAATCTACGTCATTACCTCCTTCCCCCTTTTTTCCTACGAGCATGTCTGGAAGTGCATGTGGTATGTGCACACATGTATATGTAAGTTTCTATGAGCATGTCTGGAAGTGCATGTGGTATGTGCACACATGTATATGTAAGTTTCTACGAGCATGTCTGGAAGTGCATGTGGTATGTGGACACATGTATATGTAAGTTCCAACGTGTGTGGAAGGTGATGTTGATGTCACGTGTCTTCCTCAATAACTCTCCACTTTGTAAATTGAGGTACAGTCTCTTACTGAACACGGAGCTTACCATTTTGGCTAGTGAGGCTAGCCAGTTTGCTCTAGAGATTTCCTGCCTCTGCCTTCCACAAACTAGGATTACAGGCAGGCCACCAAGAGCAACTACTTTAAAAAAAAAAAAAAAAAAATTTGTGCCAAACTCTGGTTCTCATATTGGCAAAGCAGGCAATCCCCAGCGCAACCTTTTAAAAATTTCAACATTTATCCAGTTATCTAAGGAGACTGTTATAAAATGGTTTGATTTAAAAAAAAAAAAAAAAGGTATTTTTAAATATGTGTGTGTGTTTCTGTGGGGGTATATGCATGTGAGTGGAGGGGCTTTTGAAGTAGAGGAGGCTTCAGATCCTCTGGAGCTGAAGTTACAGGTGGTTGTGAGCCACCCAATGTGGGTGCTGGGAACTGACCCAGAGCATGTGGATAATCTTAACATCTCTCCAGATACTAAACTGCTTCATCATTTTGTTTGTTTATGTGTTTCTGAGATAAGAGCTTGTGTAGTGGAGCTCAGTGTAGCCAAGGGTGGTTTTGAATGCCTAATCTTCTTGCCTCTACTTCCCGTTTTAGAATTATAAGCTATGTGTTTTTTAATCCTTTCTTCTCTCCAGCAGAGATAAAAGAATTATTACATAAAATTTCAATGAAGAAAACAAGGAAACAAATAGTTTTGCTTAAATGAGAGAACATGACTGCCAAACTACTACCCACTCAGCCATTCTGTTGCCAGTTGTAGCACTATTAAGGAACATGGACAGGTTAAAATCACTAATAAAGTCAGTATCAAGTCCATACCTCCATGATATGTAAGAATCTGTCCTCTGAGGGTGGATGTGTGGCCTGCAATATTCGCCATATGTGTTGTGTCTCATCCAGAGACACTTCTAGGAGGTCTCCAACCATCATCAGTTCTTCCAACTGTGCTTTTGCTCCAGGAGACAATTCCAATACTGGAGGCTCCAAACTTCTGGGAACTAAAGGGCTTTTCCGAGGCTGCTTTCTTGGAGTGCTAGAACCTTTCCCCCCAAGACATCAAGAAACAAAGCAAAGAAATGAAAATGGTATACACATGAAAGTAAATGTTCAGAAAAAAAAATTACCTCTCCCCCTTATAGTAACTTTAAATAACTGAATTCATTATTTTAGTACAAAAAAAAAGGTTTTAGAAATTGTACTAAATGGGTAACATAATGATCCATAAAATTTCTAAAAGTTTATCATAGAGAAAATAATCTCCATTTTCCAGAGGAGTAAAATAAATTATTACTTATTTTCTGTAGGTAGTAGAAAAGTCAACATCAGTGAGAAAAAATTCACCAAAAGAAAGAAGTTCCTAACAATTAATACCAAACACTCATACACACATTAAAAAAAACAAAACAAAACAAACAAACAAACAAAAAGAACACAAGATAAACCAATCAACTCCACAAAATAAAAGAACACCCAAGTCCTGTATGGATATTAAGCAACAGTGAGTTCCCTGACAGCTGGTACTCAGCAAGTAGAGGGCAAATGAAAGTCTAACAGAGATTCCATACAAATATGACACCTGATCACGTGACCTAAAAAAATATTCCTAGTTGGGACTCTATACTTCTATTATCTTTTCAGGCCATCATCTACTGATAGAAAATGAAAACAAATTTAGACTTTTCACAACCACAACAGTGTCTTCAAGTTCTCTCATTAGGTGATGACCAGGTTATGTATTCAAGAGGGGTTGACAATCTGGATTAATATAATGTATTTTCTATCTGTGTCAATTTACTTTCTAAATATATATTATTTTGTTTTTTTCTGGGCTTAGGACCAAACCTAGGCCTTTTACTTGCTAGGCAAACACCACAACCAAACTCTAACCCTTATGTTTTCTGTTTTGTTTGTTTTTTATTTATTTTATTTGTGTGTTATGTGCATGTAAGTCCAGGTACATGTATGCCACAGCATGTGGAGACCAGACAACAATGTTTCAAGTCTGTTGAGGGACCTGTTGTTTCTCCTGTTCTGTTACTTACTGCAGACTAGTTGGCCTGAGAATTCCCAGCCAAATCTGTCTCCATTCCCTACCTCTTGCACCAGTACCAGGACTACATACACATGCTACTGCATCTAATGCTTTTATGAGGGTTCTGGAGATCAAAGGTAAATTGTCAGACTCACATGGCTGGTGTTGAACCATCTTCCAGGCCCACTTATGTTTTTATGAAGACAGGGTCTCAGGTAGCCTAGGCTGGCCTCAAACTTGTTATCTGATAGGCAAGAAATGAACTTAAATTCCTGAGCTCTCCTGCCTACACCTTCAAGCGCTTGGATGATGGAGCATGTACCACCTTGCCCAGATTATACCTTTTCCAAGGGTAATTACTACCTTGAGAACAACTCTTAGAAGCAGAAGAATATGCATGCTCTGCACAGAATGAAGGTGCTGTCCACATGTGAGTCACCACTTCCTCAGACTTGATGGGAATCTCTTCATCACAAAAGAGATTGGGTTCCAGACTGCTAGAGGACTTCACACTGGCTGTATCCTGAAGAACAAAGAGAAATTATCAGAATTATAACCACTTAATTTACAAAAAGCTAAAAATGAAAGCTTTCAGGATAAAAGCTTCTGACATAAGACACTAAAAACATAAAAATTAACTATAATATTACATAAATACATAATCACCATGGCAGGGGCACCTTACCACAAATGTAAGATGTTATTTAAAGTTTCACCTTTGTTTTTTTTTTTTTTCTTTAAGTTTTGAAAAACTGCCATTACCACATACTCAAAACAAATACATGACTAGGTTTCTCTTTCACCCTCAATCCTTAAATACCAATGGCAGCAGTTTTAAAAACAGAACTTACCAGATATGTATCCTTAGCCTGTCCCTATAATTACCTTCATGTCATAGCCATATGTCTCCCGAATATCTTCATCAGAATCTGTTTCTTCATCATCATAGTCCATTGTTTGGTGGGGGGAAGATGATACACTGCTCACCACCCGGTTAAAAGCAGACTGCTGGAAACTAGGTAAGTGTCCCTAAACAACAAGATGAACAGACAGACTAAACAAACACAGGTAATTAATGTTTGCTTAACACCAACAAAATGTAACTAATTTACTTAAAAAGCAGCTAAGAGACTTCTTCAACAGTTAGTAGAAAATAAATATGCTACAGTCTACCTGAATATTTTCAGATAGTATTTCACTAAAATGACTTGAATTTTTACTGAGAAAAAGAAGAGCAAAGCTGTGTATGCAGAAGGAATAAGATGCTATTGATCATAGAACTGCTGGCAAATTATAGTTGCTTTCCTACCCAAGTCAACAGGTTAAATACATTTAATTTACAAGTTACATACTAACAGACACTACCACATGAAACATAAAAAGGTAAATCAGTAGCTGACCTGTAAATCTGGATTAGCAGCTGCTTTTTGGAGTTCTGCACTGATAATCTTTTCAGTTTTTTCTCTAGCTGCTTGTTCCACCATACGCTGGCTTAACACAGAGAGTTTGGCCAGGGCAGAGGACAGTTCATCTGTGGCTAGAGCTTGTCGTGCTCTGTCTTGCCAACTCATGGCACGTTCTGTCAAACACTGCAGTGCCTCTCCTTCAGGCAACCGTACTGGCAACTTCTGAAGGGATACCAGGAGTGACAGAATAGTCTCTAGCCTCGGCCTCCGAGATCTCATGCAAAGAGGGCAAAGGAATTTTACATCTTTAGCCTGCCAGCTGGATCCCTTTTTCTGGGAACTTGATTTAGGAAGAGGAACACAGCTGTTATGGAACCAGTCTTTGCAGAGCTCACACTGTAACATAAACCCACTGGCTGACTTGCGGCAAATACAAAATTTCACTTCTTCTATGCGGTCCACAATTGTCATCTTGGCTAGGTTGGCTGCTCTGAGGGAATGCATGGCTTCAATCTCCTTTTGCTCTCGTTCTTTGAAAACTGCCACCTGTACACAACAAGCATTTAATTAAAGGGAATCATTCTAAAACACCCACAAAATAGCAAATGCTTAAGCTGAGGGATGTTTCTCCAAGTTCCAGCACTATGGTAACAAAGTATTGCCCACATACAAAGTTCAGTGGCAATTTCCTGAGACGTGGGTTATCACACAAACATTTTGACACGAACATTTCTAATCTGTGAATTGGACATTATATCACAGTACTTTATGTAAGGCACAGTATATATAGAGAGGGTATTTCTTGAGATCAAGCACCCTAGGTGCCAAGCCTGGCTATTGGACTTACAGACTTACAGTCTGTGGTACAAATTTTCCAGATTTCAGTTTTCCTGAAAAGTGCAGGCACACCACCAACCACATTTTATTGTTTTAAGGATTAAATACAATTATACACCAAAGTGCCTAATCTAATACCCAGCACAACATACACAGTAACTAATGGTTTCCCAATTCTCAACGGCAAGTTCTGTTCAGATAAACATTTTTACTTTCCTTGAGAAGACCTCTACATTTCATTGAGAAGCAAAAGAAAGCCTGATGATCAACTACAATAGTATCTTGCAAAATTCATTTTAGCCCAGTAAATAAGAACAACTATAATTTAAAGATCACATGTACCACCAGCATATTTTCCTTTTAAATTACTGGTAGGTTGGAAACAATTTTGAAATACTTTCCAATTCTGACATCAGACGAGATCGGGCACAGTCAGGGTGCTATGGCTGTAGACAACTTTCCAATTCTATTTGCTGACAAGACTGACTTACTGGGCAAGCTCTCTAATGGAAGATCATCTTCTTTGGCCTCAAATTTATAGACAGAAGGAATCTTTTTTTTAAAAAAAAAAAAAAAGATTTATTTACTCATTATGTATACAGTAGTCTCTTACATGCATGCCTGAAGCCTGTATGCCACTGTACACCACTGAGCCTACATGTGTGGCTCAGCAGTTAAGAGCACTGACTGCACAGGCCTTTAATCCCAGCACTTGGGAGGCAGAGACAGGTGGATTTCTGAGTTCGAGGCCAGCCTGCTCTACAGAGTGAGTTCCAGGACAGCCAGGGCTACACAGAGAAACCCTGTCTCGAAGGAAAAAAAAAAAAAAAAAAAAAAGGAGCACTGTTCTTCCCGAGGTCTTGAGTTCAATTCCCAGCAACCATATGGTGACTCACAACCATCTGTAATAGGATCCGATGCCCTCTTTTGGTGTGTCTGAAGACAGCTACAGTGTACTCATATACATAAAATTAATAAATATATATTTTTTAAAAAAACTACATTTAACAGTAGCTTTTATCCATGTAGTAATAATGTAAGACATTATTTCAAGATCACCAAAACTGACTTTGAATATTCTTACCAAAAAGGAAAAAAAAGGATAAATATTTGAGATGCAAAAAGGAGGAGGTACTACAAAGAAATTGACTTTTTTACCTATAACAGAAAAGGCTTAGTAACAAGCAAAATATTTAAAACTGAATGAAGAGGTATAGCCAACAGTAAAGCACTTTAGTGGTCGGTCAAGAGACCTGGATGTAATCTAAGCATCAAAACAAAGAAAACTTTGCAGTAAAATATGGACTACTTTGAAGGAATACTTTGTATTATAAGAACAATAAGGAATAAATGCGGAGCTTGGGAATGTAACTCAGTGAGATAGCATTTGACCATACATGAGGTCCTAGGTTCCTAGCAGCCAAAAACAGAGAGAAAGGAAGGAAAGAAGGAAGGAAGAAGTGTGTGTGTGTGTGGGGGGGGGGGGGGGCGAGGGACAGGAACTTTTTAGGAAAAGAACAGCAAACTTTTTACACTATGACATACGTACACACAAATAAGGTAGGTAAATAAACAGTTAAGAACCTGTTAACATTTTCATAAAATTTTGCATTGAGAGAGCAAACTCAAGGTCTGCCCCTTGGATCCTTACCACCATGGCTGTATCTCTCGACTCCTCCAGTCCTTCTTCTAAGTCACTCAAAGTCTCAAGGTCTAGGTCCTTCTCCTTTTCTTTTTCTAGTATTTCTTTTACTTTTTTCCTCCTGTTTTTACCACTCCCATACACACCAATGTCAGTTCGTGGACTTAGCACCTGCAAAATTTTAAAAATATTTAAAAATAAACTCTAGTTTAAAAATTAAAGCCCTTGAGAGTAAAAATAGCCATTAATGGATCACTCTTCATGTCCAAAGTACCTATTCATTTAACTTTAATGTTTAAGAGGGAAGATCTTACTCTGTAGCCCAGTCCATCCTATAATTTGTGGTGATCCTTCTCCCTTCTCCCTCAGCCATCACACCACAGGCATGTTATCTAATTAAAATTTCACAACTGTACACAGCAGTTACTACTTCCCAGATTTTATTGATAAGAAAAACAGACTCAGACAAGGGACAACTTGACAAAGAACAAAGGTCCAAAGTGTTCCTCTTTAACTACTGTTAAAGGTGTTCAACTGTTCAGTATAAAAGGAATTAAATTTGTCTCTTGAGGGATAAGATTCTTCAGCAGAGTCTATTGACAGAGGTTTAGATATATGCTGGTTGCTTTTTCTGGATACAGCATAGATTAATGAAAAAAGAGTTTGCCTAAGACCAAGTTTCAATTCCACATCTGATACTAGCTAATAGAAATTAATTATAATGATGACTAAATTAACTGAAAAGACCCTTTCGCCAACACTTCTACCAGGAGTGGTTTATCAACTGCTGAGAGAGTGCTAAAGCATACACATGGTTATCTTCACCTGTAACAATGTATGGCTGGAATTCTTCTTAAGGAAGGTCCGCCCAGTCCGCTCTCTCCAGGCCCGTGCTGCTGCCACCTGTGATTCCACTTGAGGCAAGGCATCAAGACGCACAGGGATAGGGCGTCCTTTAGCAGACAAGCTCTCAAGCTGTTCCAAGTAAGCATAGTTGTTGCCACTCTGGAAAACAAAAAAGTAGATCCAAACAATTTTAATTCTTTCATGGAGTCTGGCAAAGTATTTGGAGGAACTTAGTCAATGCATTCTTTCTTTTCTTTTTTTTTTTTCTTTTTAAATTCAAAAAGGGGAATGGAACCTAGGCCTTGTAGACTAGGCAGGTAATAGCCCCACTAAGGAACATCTTCAGTACTTATGTTAATTTCTGTTTTAAATAAAGTAATTGGGTCTCTTTAATAAATTTAAACTTAAAATTTTCTACAGAAAAAAAGTTAGTAAAAATTGATTTAATGTAGTTTATTTATTTTTGAGACAGTGTAGGACAGGTTGGCCTCATACTCACAGGTTCCACTTGCCTCTGCCTCCTAAGGAATTCAGGGTTTTTGTTGTTGTTTCTTAAAGATATATTTATTTATTTTTTTTTTAAAGATATATTTATTTTATATGTGTGAGTACACTGTCAATGTCTTCAGACACAACAGAAGATCCCATTACATTGGATCCCATTACAGATGGTTGTGAGCTACCATGTGGTTGCTGAGAATTGAACTCAGGACCTCTGCAAGAGTAGTTAGTGTTCTTAATCACTGAGGAATCTCTCCAGGCCCTTGTTTTGTTTTGTTTTGTTTTGAAAAGACATGGCTTCTTAGGATAGCCTTGATGGTCCTGGAATTAGCTCTGTAGACCACACTGGCCTTGAACTCACAAGGTTCTGCCTCCCAAGTGCTGGAACTAAAAATGTGTGCCACTAACACCCAGCAAGAAATTCATTTTGTAATGAACAAATTACCAAAATTTTTCTTTTAATAATAAGAGAACCAGTAAGATAAAAATATTTCAAAGAACAAGCTGAACAGAAATATATAAATGAAATTAGAAATGAAGAATGAATTTGCTACTAGAAGTAAGTATTTTTTTAAAGATTTTATGAGACTGTCTTGCCAATATGCATGTGTAGCATGTACAGCGCCTACAGAGGTCAGTGGTGTTGGATCCCCTGGAACTGGAGTTACAGATGTTGTAAGTTGCCATGTGAGTAATGAGAACTGAACCCAAGTTCTCCACAAAAGCAGTAAGTCTTCTAACCTCTGAGCCACTGTTTCAGTCCCCATAAAGAATATCACAGAAGACAACAGAAGAAACTTTTTTGCAGTATAGAAATCTATGTTACCATTACAACCTCAAAATTAATTTCTATGGACATAAGATTAAAAACAGTATCTTAGACTGGGTAACCACTCCTGCTGTTACAGAATGAAAGCTATGAATGATTACTTTCGTCCTAAACACATGGTATGTCAGTATTTCCATGTTATGAAATCACTTCTGTTTTTAGAACCATTATATATTCTAGGAAAAGGTTATTTCCCATAACTGATATGGTTGCTTGAAATTTTATTTTGAAAGATACATTGACACATGCTGGAAAATAAAGACAAGAAATCAATGAATTTTTGCTGGTGTATGCATATAATCCCAGCACTTAGAAGACAGAAGGTAAATTCAGAGTTCAAGGCCCACTTTAGCTACACAGCTTAAAGCCAACTTAGGCAATATAAAATAGTGTTTCAAAAAATAACCAAATAACTCTTATTCCCAACACCCACATGACTTTGTACTACAGCATGTAACTCCAGTTCCAGGAAATCCAAAACCCTCTTCTAGTTTTCTGGGCTTCATGAATATAGTACACAAACATACATTCAGGAACAAATACATACAATTAAACAATGATTTTAAATAATAATATAGTGTTATTATGAAACACTAGTGGCAAAAATCACTAAGGTAGTAGGATAAGAAGAGTTAGCTTAAACATTCAAATAAAAACGCTCAAATATCAAAAGGGCAAACAAATAATATATTCGTTCTTTCTCCTTCTGGTGCCCAGCTATTGTCCCTTGACTACAGAATATCTTCTGGGTCAACCTAGAAGTCATGTAACCTGAAGAGCTGTCCTAGTAAAAGAACCTATTCATTCAGAGCCTCCAAGTCAGTAATCTACCAAAGCGAAGGACTGACAGTCCTTAAAAATGATCAAGGAGGAAAGTCAGAAGTGGTGGTACATGACGTTAAGCCCAGTACTGAGGTAGCAGAGGCAGGCAGATCTCTGTGAACTGGAGGCCAGACTGGTCTATACAGTAAGTTCCAAAAGACCAGTTTCCAATGTGTAAGAAACTCATATTGATGACCAATCAGAGCTACACAGTGAGACCCTGCCTCAAAAAACAATAGCCTCCCCCTTTCTCTGAAAAGCTGATTATCTAACTCTTATCAACTTTCCTAATCAAAACTAGTAACCTTTAAGTATTTAGTATTTATTCTGAGTTTTAAAATCAGAGCAAAGAATAGATGAACTATTATTTTATTAGCATATTCTAATGAAGTAAGGTTTATATCATTTACTTATGGGAAGGTATTACCTGGTAGGTAGGCTAATCTGAACGTTTCTTTACCTGAATAGCTTCCACTTTAGCTGTCCATTCACGAGCCTTCTGTAAGGCTTCTTTTAAGGACAACACATTGGGTAGAAAGGCTGGAATGTTCTTGGCTTCATTCACAATATTTTCTAAATTTGCCATACTGTGCCGTGGTCTAAATGAACAATAAAACAGTAAGATACGAAGTAAAAGTTCAATTACTAAAAGAATTAAAATAGCATTTTCCAAAGTGCTAGAAACTCATATTCATGAACTCATTTAATTCTTTTTTTTAAAAGATT